ATTTTTGTCTGTGTGGGGGCATCGGTGCCCCTATAAGTCCCCATGTTGTTCAAGAGTCAACTCTTATAATCTTTTTTTTTTCCTTAAAGATTTTATTTATTTGAGAGAAAGAGCAAGCATGAGGGGGCAGAGGGAGAAGCAGACTCCCCACTGAGCAGGAAGCCTGATGTGGGGCTCGATTCCAGGACCCTGAGATCATGACCTGAGCCAAAGGCAGACGCTTAACTGACTGAGCCACCCAGGCATCCCTGTTCTTTTATAGTCTTAAAAAATTTAAAACTTGCTGTTACTTTAGGCCCCATTAATATAAATATGGTCTCTAATAATGGAGGCAATAGTGTGGCCCTACTTTGTGACACTCTTAGACCGCTGAGCCATGTCTGGGAGTGACAATTCTGTAGTGAACAGCCAGTGTAGTGAATGGCTGGAAATTGTATCAGATAAGGAAAGCTGGCAAGAGAAAGCCCAGAAAGAAAACTTAGGGAGAGACTAGAACTTGAATGCTATCTTCAAATATGCCGATGGACGGCCTGTGCAAGAGGACCACTGGTGGAAACTAATGAGAGAGAGAGGTCTCTCCCAGAGAAGAGCAAAACTGGTTAAATGCTTCCTGGCATACTGGAGAGAGAATTTTAGCACAGAATGGGTGGTTGACCAGCTGACCCTCAGGATCTTTCTCAGCCTTAGATTTGCAGTTTTTTATAAATTGAAAGTGTTCTAGCAGCATTCTCTTCCAAATAAAATTTGTGAACAGGTGAAATCTCAGTGAAGGCTGTAGTTTAGCTATCAGCATTATACCAAGGTTAATTTCTTGGTTTCCACAATAGGCCATGGTCATGTAAGACACTGACATTAGGGAAAACTGCCTGAAGGGTATATGGGAACTCTCTGTACTATTTTTGTCACTTTTCTATAAATCTAAAATTATTCCAAAATAAAATGTTTACTTTAAAAAAAATCAGGGACGCCTGGGTGGCTCAGCAGTTGAGCATCTGCCTTTGGCTCAGGGCATGATCCCAGGGTCCTGGGATCGAGTCCTGCATCGGGCTCCCCCCATGGAGCCTGCTTCTCCCTCTGCCTCTCTGCCTCTCTCTGTCTCTCATGAATAAATAAAGCTAAATAAATAAATAAATAAATAAATAAATAAATTTTTAAAAATCAAATTTTTGAACTCCACAAAAAGCTGTTTCAGACTAAAGGACACTGGGTATCCTAGGTGCTAGTGACCTAGGATCTTCAGGCTTCAAGTGTCAGAACTGTAATCTGTGGGGGCACCTGGCTGGCTCAGTCAGTAGAGCATGTGACTCTTAATCTAAGGATTGTGGGTTGAACCCTCATGTTGGGTGTGGAGCCTACTTAAAAGAAAAAAAAAGAACTGTAATCTATATTTGTTATTTACAGTTCACAAAACATACATTATTTTATCTCCACTCCACGGTGGTGATGTAAGCAGGGTTGATGTTATCATGGACAAGCTCAGTAAACTGCATCAACCAGCCCAGGGTCACTCAGCTGTTGGCTGAGCTGGGCTTGGAATCCATCTCCTCATTCCAGGGTTCTTACCGGACACACTATCAACTCTCCAGGTTCGGGAAGTATCTCTGCTCTGCCTCCGCTAACCATTTTGTTTATATGTCCACTGGGTTTGGTTCCCTGAGTTTTACTGCAGAATGAAGAGGGTGTTCACCACAGTGCTGTTTGCAAGAGTGACACATATCTGAATGTCCATCAGCAGAGGAATGATTAAATAAATTACAGGCCGTTCATTCCGGAAACACTATACAGTTGTTAAAAGGAATGTGGTAGGATCTGCAGTTACTGGCACAGGATATACGGTTAGATGAAAAAAGCAAATTGCTAGGGCAGTAATGCGTAATATGATTACATGTTTAAAGTAAATTAAAATGAAACTATAAACACACACAGACACATATATATATCTGCATATACATAGAAAAGGTCCAGAAGGCTATTCTTTAGGGGGCATGTAATAGCCTTTTGATGACAAAATAAACAACAACAAAGTAAATTTAAGTTTGGGAAGCCTAGTGTAAAAAGAGGGTGAATGGCTTATATCTCTCTAAGCTCCTGCTTACAGCTGTTACCTTTTTTTTTTTTAAGATTTTATTTGTTAAAAAAATATATTTTATTTATTTACTCATGAGAGATACAGAGAGAGAGAGGCAGAGACACAGGCAGAGGGAGAAGCAGGCTCCATGCAGGGAGGCTGATGTGGGACTCAATTCCGGGATCCCGGGGTCACACCCTGAGCCGAAGGCCGACGCTTAACCACTGAGCCACGCAGGTGCCCCGGCTCTGCTACCTCCTGTTCCTACACCACTTCTCTCCTGTCTCCCTCTCCAAACAGTAACAAATGTTACTCTCTTCCTTCCCTCTCCTCAGGCTTGGAAGGACTGCGACCCTCCTCTCTCAGGTGGGGGGCTTGGGGTGGAGCACCACAACAAGACTTGAGGTTCCACTCAGATCCTAACCAATGAAAGCAAATGAACTTCAAGATCTATTTTGCCTACTTACCCTTTTTTGAGTTGTTGTTAACCCAGTTACCCGTTGGGTTTCTTTGTGGCCCTTGTTTCCAGGCTAAATCTCTTATCACTGAGGCATCAGATCCTTTGCCACCTGAGTCTGCCAACCTACTTATTTAGACCTGCCCAACAAAGGACGACTCCCCCAATTCTCCTTTCCATGGGAATCTGCCCTAGAATTCTGCTTCCTTTCTCTTTCCTTCCCTTTCATGTGCCTGGGCCAGTGGGGTGCAGTGAGACTCTGAGAGTGGTATACCAGGAGAGAAAGAACACAGGCGTTGGAGTAAATCACACTTGGCACAAAATCCTGTCTTGGCCCTTATTAACCATGTGACCTTGGGAGAATTGAACCCCTAAAAATTTCTTAATTGCCCTGAACTTCAGTTATTCCTTCTGTAAAATGAGAATAAAACCCGTTCGTGAGGTTGTGGTAAGGAATAAGCAAGATGAAAAACAAGAAGCCAATTAAAAAACGGGCAAGGACTTGAAGAGATGTCTCTAAAGGAGATATGCAAGAAGAGCAGATGACACATAAAAGATGCTCAGTATCACTAATCATTAGGGAAATGTAAATCAAAACCCTAAGAGATGGCACTTCACACGCATTGCGATGGCTATTATCAAAAAAAAAAAAAAGGAAAGAAAAGGGTAAGTGTTGGTGAGGATGTGGAGAAATCAGAACCCTTGTGCACTTCTGGTGGGAATGTAATATGGTGCAGCTGCTGCATAAAACAGTGTAGCGGTTGCTCAAAAAATTAAACAGATCACCACATGACCCAGCAATTCCACTTCTGGGTATCTACCCCAAAGCAGGTACTCAAGAAGAGATCTGTAAACCCGTGTTCCCAGCAGCCTTATTCACAAGAGCCAAAGGGCGGAAGCAATCTGCCCCTGCACAAATGGACAAAATGACATATGACATGTATAGGTAATGTTGTGTGTTGGATATTATCCAGCCTTAAAGAGGAAAGGACGTTCTGACAGATGCTACAACACGGATGAACTCTGGAGATGTTCAGTGAAAAAAGCCAGACGCAAAATGACAAATACTGTATGATTCCACTTATATGAGGCACCGAGTCAAACGTACACAGAGACAGAGTAAAATGTTGGTTATCAGGAGCTGGAGGGAGGGGGAAGGGGGAGCTACTGCTTAATCGATATAGAGTTTCAGTTTGGGAAGATGACACAGTTCTGCAGAGGGATGGCAAGGATGATCGCACAGGAATGTGATTATTATTAATCAATACTTAACGCCACCGAACTACCAACACTTGGGTTAAAGTGATAACAAGTATATTATATATATTTTACCACAAATTTAAAAACAGAAAGGAAAGAATTGGCCCAAGTCCTAAATTCTCGGCTGCCAAAGCGTCACCTCTTTTCCCCATGGGTGGGTTTATTCTAGGGGTCCCCTGCCTTCTCTTCCAGAACACCTTCCACGACAAACTCAGTCTCTGTGGTTTCACACATGGCACTGACTTGATCTCGAACGCCCACCACACCCTTCTTGGCCCGGGCTACTCTTCAAGAATAAGGGCTAAGGGCTCCGTCCCATGTCACCCCCTCCCCCTTCATGAAGCCTTTGCTGACCAGTCTGGACTTCTATCCGCTCTCCCTCTCGTCTCTCAGTGGACAACGGCCGTTCTGAATCGTGTGCATCACGGTCACAGAGGACAGCGTCTTACGCTTCCCTGGGCTTGCCACTCACCTGTTTCCACATCAGCACAGTGGATGACGGCCGTCCTGATGAATGCCAGGTGAGGCGGTGTACGTGAAAACAAAGGTGTAGAGACCAAGCAAGGCTCGGTTCCTCCCTTACCCTCCACAAAACCACAGTGAAAACCATCAGTGACCACCTGATGCTTTATCTGGCTCAGCTGGGTTACTGGGCCAAAGGCAGGAATTCTCAGTGGGGTGAGAGGTGGATCCCTGCCCGAGCACAGCTGCGGGAAACAGTGGGTTTTGAGGCTGGAGAGTATCATCAGAGGAGTGGACTTAAAAAGCAGGCACACACAAAAAAATAAAAATAAAAATAAAAATAGAAAGCAGGCACAATTCCTTCCCAGACAGGCACCCGTTAATCACACTGACCAAGGATGCGGACTGCTTCCTCGTAGGGGAGCCTGGGCTAGGTGTTTTATAGGGGGTGTCTCATTTCATCTTCACGAATAACCTCGTAGGATAGGAACCATCTCCCCCATTTTACAAATGGGAAAACTGGAGCCTGGAAGGCAGGTCAGCGACTCCGGGCCACAAAGCTTGAAGGGGTAGTACCAGGAACTGGCCCAGGTCCATGCGGGCGAGCCCTCCGGTTGCCGGTTGCCGTCCGCGGCCTCCCAGGGCCCTCCCCCGCGCCAGGCGGCCACAGGGAGGAGGCCCCAAGGACCTGCAGGCCTGGTGCGGGCGGGCTGACACGTCCCCACCACTCGCTCGGGGAGAGCCTTCACCTACCTCCTGGAGGCGCGGTGCTCAGCAGGCTGGTCATTGCCGCGACCCGACGGGCACCTCCGCGGAGGGGCGGGCCTGCGGGAGGAGGGAGGGACGGGCGGGCATGAGGGGGGCCCCTCCCGGCGCCGGCGACCCTGGGGCCCCGGGGTCTTTGGGGCCAGGGTTTCCCGGATTCCCTCCCCCGGGGGGCTCGTCCTAAGCGCTTCTCTCTCGCGCGCGTCTCTCGCCCCGGGTGCGGCGCCACGTGCAGACGGGAGCTCCGGTGCCTCTGAACGAGCTGCCCCGGCCCGTGGCGCGGCCCCACCTCCCCTAAGGGACGCCTCGGGGTCCCGGCGAGGTCGGCCAGGGGGCGCGCCGCTGCCCCGCTCCGCCGCCCGGAGCCTGCGCGCCGCCCGCCACTAGGGGGCAGCGGCGGCCGGGAGGGCACCGCGTGGGGGCAGGGCCGCGGCCCGGGGCGTGGAGGTGGGGGCTCGGCGCCCCGCAGCCCGGCCCCGGCCGCCGAGCATCCCCCCCGGGCCGCCCCCGGGCCGGCGCGGACGTCGGGGCTGGCGCGGGGCGGGGGGGCTCCGGGTGTCGGCCCCGGCCCTCCGCTCCCTCGCTTCCCCGGCCGCGCACACGGTTCCCGCCCCCCCCCCCCGGCCCCCCCCCCCGCTCCCCCGCTCGCGCACTCGGTCCCCGGGCAGCCCCGGGCGCCGGCCGTCGGGACGGGAGGCTCGGCCGCCGTGCGCTCGCGGGCCCCGGGCTGCGCGCTCACCGTGGGTGGCTCGGCGGCCGCGGAAGGGCCCGGGCCGCTCCTCTCCGGCGTCCTCCGAGCCGGGCGGGCGGGGGCGGGGGCGGCGGGGCGGCGGGGCGGCGGGCTGGGTGGGACAGGAAGACGCGGAGCAGCCGCCCTCTGCAGGGCCCGGGCCGCCGGCCGCCTCCGCTGCCCCGCGCCGCAGGGCTGCCTCCGTCCGCCCGGCCTCGGCTCCTCCTCCCGCGCCCGAGGGGCCGCCGGCCGGGGTCGGCTGGGAAGCGCGGCCCGGAGCCGTCCGCTCGCCCCCGTCGACGTAATTCGAATTTCCTGCACGTGGGGAAAGTGACACCCACGGGCGTTTGCATAGCATTTACGTAAATAGGTCGGAGTGAGGAGCCCGAGCCCAAGCCGGCTGGGCGGGGCACGGGGGGGAGGGGGAGGGCATGGGGGAGGGGCGGGCATCGGGTGGGAGGGGGGCACCGTGGGGAGGGCACCGGGCATGGGGCAGGGAGAGGGCATGGGGCAGGGGGAGGGCACGGGGGCAGGGGAGGGCACGGGGGAGGGGAGGGTACCGGGCATGGGGAAGGGGGTATGGGGGGAAGGGCCGGGCATGGGGGAAGGACATGGGGGGAGGGGGAGGGCAGGGGGGGTGAGGCCACTGGACAGAGGACAGGGGGATCCCTCCGATCAGATGATCCGATCGTCCAGTCCGAGGCTCCTGAGGCTGGGCCTGTGCATGTGCAGGCCGAGAGCCTCACAACCTTTGGAGACAACCCCCCACCCTTGGTCAGCCTTGCGACTTGGGGCGAGCTCCCTGACATGCTCCCAAGCCTCCCCTCATCCCTGGAATGACAGCTCTGGCACCCGGTGGGCACCTCACCTGGCGCGACCGGGCCATCAGGCCGCAGCCATCCCGACTCGCTTCTCCTCTCCTGGGGCAGGAATGTTCCCAGACTGATGAGCCCCTGACTAAGGATGTAAGGCTAAAGTGACTTCGGTTTCATTTCTCTACCGAGGGCGATACCTGCCTCATGAAGTTCCTGGGGGGGGAGGGGGGCGGAGTTCTACATCTGAAGCCTTGGCCCTCACCTGGCACAGAGAAAGCGCTCAATACCTGCTAGCTTTCATCTTGGCTTCCTGTTAGGGTTGGGGCTCAAGGGCTGGTCCCTGCCCTGCATCCCGAGATACGACTTCCTTGCTTATTCCCGTGAGGGGTTCTCTAGTTTTGGGAATCAGTGTCTTGCAGACTGAGAGGTCTCGTGCATGTTCATTTGGGGAACTGAGGCTCACAGTCTGAGAGAACAGAGGAATGGTGTGAGAGCAAGAGTGAAAACGTAAATAAAATAAGCAAGGGTGGTTGCTTTCATTCCCAAAGATATTATTTGGTTGGTAGAAACCAGAGGAAAAGAAGAGTGAGCTGATGAAATTCATTTTATTCAAATATATTTTTTTTAAAGATTTTATTTGAGAGAGGGAGAGAGAGAACAGGAGCAGGGGAGCGGGGCAGAGGGGGAAGCTGACTCCCCACTGAGCAGGGAGCCAACCTGAAGGACGACAGGGAGCTTGATCCCAGGACCCTGAGATCCTGACCTGAGCCAAAGGCAGATGCTTAACCAAGTGAACCAGTTCCACCCAGGAACCCCTATTTAAATATATTTTTCAAGGCACAGTAGTTATCAGTGAGAAACAAAAAAGCCCATGTGTGGGAAAAGTAGCAAGCCAGCCAAGAAAGGCAAAGAAAGTAACACGTAGGCAAGAGGTATAGGAAAGTTAAGAAACAGGTCGGCCTGGCCTGCTCCCACATAAAAGACTATCCAAGAGAAAAGGAGGTTCAAATCCTTAGGGTTAGATTCCAAAGGTGGATAATTGCTTGCATGTACTGAGAAGCTCATCATGAATCACAGGAAAGGTTGAGATTTCTGGTTATCTGGCTAATCTCCCCCACAGCATATTCCGTTATGTACTGAAGATTGTCTTGACCAGACCGCAGACTCTGGAGGCCATCCAGCCCAGGGACTCTACTGAAATGCCATGTTGCCTTCACTATTTGATGGTTAATCACTCACAAGTGATTGAGTGATTCCTCTTTATTTGTTTTTAAGATTTATTTATTTATTCATTATAGACAGAGAGAGAGAGAGAGAGAGAGAGAGAGAGGCAGGCTCCATGCAGGGAGCCCGACACAGGACTCGATCCTGGGACTCCAGGATCACGCCCCGGGCCAAAGGCAGGTGCCAAACTGCTGAGCCACCCAGGGATCCCCATGATTCCTCTTTAAATGTAACCTTTAAGGGACCCCTGGGTGGCTCAGTGGTTGAGCATCAGCCTTTGGCTCAGGACATGACCCCAGGGTCCTGAGATCGAGTCCTGCATCAGGTTCCCCGCAGGGAGCCTGCTTCTCCCTCTGCCTGTGTCTCTGCCTCTCTGTGTGTCTCTCATGAATAAATAAAATCTTTAAAAAAAATTAACCTTAAAATGTTTGTTGATACATGACTTTACCCCTGTATGTACATACCATTCATTTAAAAAGTGTAAATATGCAAAAAACAAGATCCAATGTGTATTTGCTCAGCACCTAATTTATTTTTTTTTAAATTTATTTATTTATGATAGTCACACCACAGAGAGAGAGAGAGAGAGAGAGAGGCAGAGACACAGGCAGAGGGAGAAGCAGGCTCCATGCACCGGGTGCCCGACGTGGGATTCGATCCCGGGTCTCCAGGATCGCGCCCTGAGCCAAAGGCAGGCGCCAAACCGCTGCGCCACCCAGGGATCCCGCTCAGCACCTAATTTAGCATAAAATCGCAAGCTGAGTGTGTTTTGTTCTTTGGTGTATCCTGTATATCCTGGTTGTGTCACGTTTCCAGTGTTCTCTAGATATCTCACCAGCCTGTCAGTTTTGTCCTTCGAATTGCTGGAAGGCAGGGCCTGGGTGACGTTCTTGCAATTAATTTTATATAGAGATGCGTACAGATGATGAGTGGGGCCTTACCGGCGGTGAACTAGTGGTGTGAACTAGTGGTGTTCTCCAAGGATTTAATGCTAAACTTCAGAAACTTTTATCAACAGACCTCAGGGGCCTCAGGGCAGGGAAGAAGAGATACTCATCTCTGCCCAATTTATCGGCTTCTAGTCCTTTCTTGTGTTGCTGCCAGGATGGCAATTTTCTAAATCCTAGCCTTTCCCCGGGACAATTTTACCATTTTGTAAATCAGGGTAAACAGCTTGGTACCCAGGCAGGACTATCTACCCTAAATAAGCAAAATTATGTGCCCAACATACTGGCTCCTTCCCCTGCCTTCCTGGAAGGTCCTGGAGGGCCATATGCAAATGAAGCGTCAATCTCACAATTTAGTAAATCTCTCTCTCTTTTTTAAAGATTTTATTTATTTATTCATGAGAGACACACGGAGAGAGAAGCAGAGACACAGGCAGAGGGAGAAGCAGGTTCCACGCAGGGAGCCTGATGTGGGACTCGATCCAGGGTCTCCAGGCTCACGCTAAACTGGGCCGAAGGCGCTAAACTGCTGAGCCACCCGGGCTGCCCAATATCTCCACGTCTGTGGTGCCTCCATTGTAGCAATTACGTCCCATGCTTGTCTCCCCCCATCAGACTGTAAGTCCCTAGAAGACCTTGCTGGCACACTCATTTCCTAGGAGGGAAAGCCCTGGAGAGAAAAGGCTTGAATTGGATTTTGCTGGATGAACGAACGTGGGAGGGGCAATTCTAAGCAGGTCATGGAAGGCCTTGCACATCTAGGGGCCTGTACTCCTAGCATTTCCCCCGCCCCGCCAATACCCCTGGACCATCACTCCTGGCCATGATTCTGAGTGCCACGGGAATGGGATGCCTCATGGGAGAGGTATGAAAATATGGGCAGTAGGGCTTTTATGGGGGGCATGCCTATTTCTCCGTTTCAGCCATAGAAATCTTTTGAAGGCTTTAAAATAAGATTAGATTTTAGGAGAATGACTCCTGCATACAAACATTTATTTCCAGCTCCCTAACAGACACATCTACTAGAAAGTCCTGCAAGTTCTCAAGCTCCCTGTATCCAATATTTGTACGGGACACCCAATAAACTCTGTAGAAAGTGTATCATTTGATCAATTTTGACACAGGTATGTACTCATTAAACAATCACCATAACATTACGAATATTTCCGTCTCTCTACAAGTTTCCTTGTGTTTCTTTGTAATCTGCCTTCCTCACCACCACCCCCTCCCAGCACCACCACTGGTCTGTCATCGTAGAAACACTACGTGCCTCTCCATAAACCGAGCCAGCCACATCCTCCAGGGAATCTGGATCTGGAAAGGACACAGAAGCAGAAGGTGGTGGAAGCTGAGTCTTGCTTAGAGGCAGGTCCACACGTTCCTGCGACAGCCATCCGTGGGCTGGTTCCTGTCCTTTCCTGTTCTTTCAGTTCGATGAGCTGCCTCATGTCCTTCCAACATATTCTTTATTGCTTAATTATGGCAGTTTGTTGTTTGCAACCCGAGAACCCCCCGCGCATGATGCCCTTCCTCCTGTTACCATCTTGAGAATGGCACCACCAAAGCCTACTCCCTCCAGCCGCACCCAGAGCGCTTCCTTGCAACTTCAGTCAGGCCTCCGCTTCTAACCCATGGACTAAATCCTGCCCCCCTGCTCCCTGCTCGATAGTCGGTCTCCATAAAGTTCTTTTTTCCTCATCATTACTTCTCTAGTACCTAGTTTGGTGCTCGGTGTGCAGTAGGTACTAATAAACACTTGCTGAATGCTCAAGTGTGACGTCGTCCATAACCCCAGAAACAAAAGCAAAGATGGATGAGCATTTGCATGTGTGTGTTTATTGGGTGCAGGACTTCAAAGTGAGTTTTTAATGTTTTCACAGAAATAAATGATGGATTCTAAATTCCACGCCATTTCCATTATATTATTATACTTTGTACCCTTTCCCTTCACATGGAGTTCCATGTCTCCTTCCATCCTGCTCAGATACTTATTCACACCACACAGCAGTTTGTAAACACTAGCTACAGCTCTAAAATGTAACCCCTCACGGGGGGAATTTGCTTATTAGCTGAAAGTGGGGGCCGGGGTCAGGAAGGAAAGCACCTAGGTGGAGGAAAGGAGCCTGTGGCCCCTGGCATCATTCCCACGGGGGCTGGGTGTCACGGATGGGACTAAAGCTTTCTGAAAGTCCATGGGTTAGAAGCAGAGGCCTGACTGAAGTTGCAGCTTTCTGAACGTGTTTAGAATCAGTAACATCCTAAGTGGAGAACAGGGTTCTGGGCTGAAACAACTCCCTGTGTCTAAAAAAACCCCAAAAAACAAAAAACCACCCCATCCATACACAGTCAGAATAACACTTTATTTAACAATCAGAAAATCTGTTCTTTTGGCTCTAAGTGACTGGTAAGTCAAAGATTTGTTCACTGTCTCCTGAGTATGAGTGGTAGGTAATGTGTCTCTATGTGGATGTGTCTCTATCTACAGATGCTTATGCTTTTTACAGTCATTTTAGGCCCGCTTTACTTAATAATATATAAAGTCTTCTTATTCTAACAGTGCTACAAAGCCTGAATTAAATATTCCCGGAATCTAATAGTTTCTTCTTCCAAGCCTGCCACCCTCCCTCCCCTAAGTCGGCTCCTCAGCCTCCATTAATGCTAGATCTTTAGAGACCACCAGCATTCATATGGCTGGAGAACCTAAAACTGAATGCTAGATCTTAAGTCCCTCCGACCTATATACCCTCCAGCTGAGGGGCTTCTCTGGGGAGGGGTGTGTAGGGGTCTTGGCAGTTCCTCTTCAGAGGTAGTCAGTTTGAACTGCAGATACCTGGAAAGTAAAAGTGACTGGGTTAGATGCTGACCTGCCCTCCCACCAACCACTGGGGGAAGGGGCTCATTTTGCTCCTGTGGAATTATATTTCTTTATTTTTATTTATCTATTTGAGAGAGAAAGAGAGAAAGCACGAGCAGGGGGATGGGCAGAGGGAGAAGGAGGCTCCCCACTGAGCAGGGAGCTCGAGTAGGAGCTCGATGATCCCAGGACTCTGGGATCATGACCTGAGCTGAGGGCAGATGCTTAACCACCGGAGACTCCCAGGTGGCCCTCGAAGGATATTTCTTGTGAGGCACTGGCCGCTATTGAGAGGGGCAGCGAGAAACTGGTTGTTGGAATTACTGTCAAGACTTGTTGCGGACGTTGTTCAGGGAAGGTTTACCATCTCTTTAGGAGGATTCACAGGAGCAACTTCTTTTTCATCTTAGTAGCAGAAATTGTTGCCCTCTTAAGGAATGGGATTATGAATTGGGTGAACTGACCAGGTTTGTCTCTTCCTGGATGTCACGAAGCATGGAACCAACTTTGTGGTCCATCCTCAGTAATTTTATTTTATAGAATGCGTTTTTGTATTTACCTAATTCAGGGCTCTGTTCTATATCACTGTTACTAATGTATTTCTGAGTATATTTTGTGTGTGTATTTACCTTTCTGTGCACCTTTTATATATCTTAACGCCAGTGTTTTTTTTTTTTTAAGAGAGAGAGAGTGCATGCAAGGAGGGGAAGGGAGGGGCACAGGGAGAGAGAGAGAGGATCTTAAGCACACTTCATGCCCAGGGGGGAGCGACATGGGGCTGGATGTCATGACTCTGAGACCATGACCTGAGCCGAAATCAAGAGTCCAATGCTTAGCCAACTGAGCCATTCAGGCTCCCCACTTAGCTCCTTTTTGATGAAAATATTTAGGAGGTAAGGCTATGGTGAGAGGTCAAGAGTTTCAAGGAAATGGGCACAGAGACCACGAAGTCCCAGATTACTCTTGGTTCCCCTGGTTCCCACCCGCTTGACTTTGCCCTGAGGATGTTGCTCACTGCCGGGTTCCCCTTGTAGCCCATGCAGCCACACCTCTGTCCACCCGCATTGCCCAGTGTTACCACTCATCCCATTCTCTGTGTTATCTGGCCTCCTTACCTCCTCCTGAGGCTCGCTTGCCGTGACATTGCTGTCTTCCGGAACTGCAGAAACATGAAGCTGAAGATCTTGGCTCTACAAAAAGAAGAGTTCTCCCAGTGAGACTCAACCTCCCCAGTCTCTCGGCTTAGAAGGGTCTTCTGTACCTTACACTTGACGAGGGTCACAGACAACGCAAAGGGCAAACATACGGTGCTGGTTTACTATGGCCTGAGAGTATCAGGGAAGGCTTTCCCGTCATCCTCTGTCACACATCAAGAGACCAAGATTCAAAGGGTCAAATAACCTGCTGGGACAGGAAACCAGGTCTTTGGACTCCCATTGTTTCCATGATCAGATACTGTATGATCTGTGTGACACGCATCTGTATATAAATCTATGTGGGAGTCCGTGAAGGTATAAATATAGGTGTTTAAAACCACTACCTACCACTTTTAGACCAACCCTCCTCTAGAACGCACCACAGCTCTCACACTGGGATGGTCCTAAGCTATGACGGTTAGGAAAGGCAAATGGTATGATGGTTTCTTGGGGAAAAATTCTGGGTCCTGAGATGGGAACCCAAGATGTGGAAAGCCCTGCCTAGGAACTGTTAAGCCACGGGAAGCCTCTGGTACTCTAAGGCTTAGAATGAATTTATTTTTTGATTGAAATTTCATGCACACACTATAAAATTCACTCTCTCAAAAACCAGAACCAACTGCTAACAGTAGGAAACAGCCATTTGAAATTCTGTTTCTCCTTTAAGTTCCTCCTTATTCCCTCTTCCAGTTCTAGGCTATGAACGGCCCCCAAAGGTAATATCCCACAAAGTTACGATCCTTTCAGAGAACCTCCATTATCTCTCAGGTGGTTCAAATGCTGAGCAAGTACAGATTTTCTCAGTTTTCTTTTTATTTACTGGTTTTTAAATGTGATAATGTCCATAATTCTGCTTGGGGGCAAACTATGACTTATAGCGCGTCTGTGAGGGAAGTGAACAGATCTTGCAGGACATAATAGGGCCTCAAAAGATTGACGACATTGAAAGGCTAGGATCGAAGATGCTCTAGCTGCTTAATTCCATAGGAAAAATACGTCTCCTTTAGCTGATGACCAAGCAATTCCAAAGGAGAGGCTGGGGCTAAGGAAACACTGTAAATCTAAAAAATAATGAGGTGGCTTCAGGGGGGGAGGAGGTTGCATCCTGTATCTCTTTCCCAAGGAGGACAGTGTTACTAGCCTGTTCCTCAAAAATAGACAATATCTTGGCCCCTAGAATCTCCCCTTCAGTAAGGTTACGCCCAAGAGGCAAACAGGTTTTATCCACCAGAGCCAGACGAAAGGCCACTCTTTGGCTGACCCTATACTAAAATCATATAAAGTATTACAAAGTCAAATTTAAGTTAATTTTGAATTTTCCATACTGTTGAATTGTTCTTTTTAGTGCGGAAAAGTGAAAAGTGGCTACCCTGTTTACCCACACCCCCTGCATATTTCTCCCAGCTGGGAGAGCTTCCTCATCCCAGAAGCTGACAGAGGGAAGATGCTTTATGTCTGGCTCTGTACCTCATGTCACTCAAGATTGACAGGGCACTAGTGTTGACTTAGATGTCAGTACCTCAGGGGAGTCCGCAGAGGTGAGCTTATTGTTCTCTTCCTTGTCCTCGATCTTCTTTGTCGTGTCAGACTCTGAAAAATCCTGTGGACCAAAGTGGACAATGTAGGAGAGAGCACCACACCTTCACACCCTGGATGCCACCCTGGGCCCTTTGTCTGTGTTGGCTGTGGTATCCCGGTACCCGCATGGTACCCAAGTCCAGGGAACAGGAGGCCCTCGAGGTAGCCTGGTCAGCCTTTGGTGAGGCATCGGCGGTCACAGGGTGCTGTGAACTGAGGGGCATCAGAAGTCTCGGACTCCCAGATATCCACATGGCTCATGCCCCGGCCTCCTTCACTGCCCAAATATCCCCTCTGACCACTCTGTTTAAAACTACAATTTTGCCTTCACTCCCTGGACCTTCCCCTACTTAATTTTTTCTCTTCTCTTCCCCTACTTATCTTTTATCTCTTATAATTTATCTCTTATCATCACTAAATTGTCATTTTACTTATTTATGGTTTCTTGCCTATCTCCCTTACTCCTCCCAACCCTCACCCACTAGATATAAGATGCAGGAAGGCAGAGAATTTTGTTTTGTTCATTGTAGTATTCCACCTCCTAGAAAAGTGCCCAGCACATAGCAGGGGCTCAGTAATTATGGAATGAATGGATCAATCAGTCAGTTAATCAATCTTGGTGCCATCTAGTTAGATGTTTCACCATAATCTTCTCTATAATGATCTGACAGGAGAGCATATATCCTTAGCTTTTTTTTTTTAAAGATTTAATTTATTTATTCATGAGAATACACAGAGAGGAGAGAGAGGAGAGAGGCAGAGACACAGGCAGAGGGAGAAGCAGGCTCCATGCAGGGAGCCTGACATGGGATTCGATCCAGGGTCTCCAGGATCAGGCCCTGGGCTATAGGCGGCGCTAAACCGCTGAGCCACCCAGGGCTGCCCTATCCTTAGCTTTTAACAGCAAGGAAGGAGGGCTATTTCTCAAGGTCGCCTATGCTATTTTTGTTTTTGGAAGTCCCTGTGTCCCCTTTTCCCTAGATTTAAATTTTTTTTTAACTTTTTTTTTAAAAGATTTTGTTTATTGGGATCCCTGGGTGGCGCAGCGGTTTGACGCCTGCCTTTGGCTCAGGGCGCGATCCTGGAGACCCGGGATCGAATCCCACGTCAGGCTCCCGGTGCATGGAGCCTGCTTCTCCCTCTGCCTGTGTCTCTGCCTCTCTCTCTCTCTCTGTGTGACTATCATAAATAAATAAAAATTAAAAAAAAATACCATTTAAAAAAAAAAGAAGTTGTACCTTGGAAATTTGCAGATGCCATTTTGCTTGCCATAGTCACAAGTGTGACAAACTGAAATGAGACTCTCCTTCCCATCCCCCACTAAAAAAAGTAAAGTTTGTTTAAGTTCGGGATGCCAGTTATAGATTCTTTATATCGGAACTCCCAGAACTTGGAGCAAAGGAAAGAAATTAGCAAGAATCTGCTCATAATAATAATATTAGAGAAAAGCCCTTTGCAGAAGTCAACTACCCTAAGAGTACAGGTCACTGGATTAGTTGCTATGAATATGTGAAACAATCCCCATAACCAAAAAAGGTGTCCAAGAATATCCTTGAAACGGCCATCTACTGACATAAGATCTTATCAGTTGGGGCAAGCTGACTATAGGAAAGATGATCTCCATGAAGGTTATTAAAGGGATTAAAGACTCAACCAGATCCAATCTCACCTCAGATATCTTCGAGGTTGGGGAAGTACAAAGTTCTTCTGGATTCAGACTGTTGATGTTTTCCTTTTCTCTGGCCTCGGGAGTTCTTACTGGCTTCTCTGGTGGCTGTGGGTCCAGTGAAGCATCTAAGGAGGTCCTGGGACTGGTAGGTGAACCCTGCTCAGAGGCTAGAGGGCTGGAGGGTATGTTCCCTGAGGAGTGCCTGGGGCTGGGAGTGGCTCTGGGTGGAGGGGGCCTATTCGGAGGTGCCGAGGTCCTCTGGATGGAGGCTCTCTTCTTTGGTTGTTCAGATCCTTCACTTGAGGTGCGGGTTCGGAGGACTACTTCTGGGAGAGACGAGGGCTGCTCTGAAGGGACAAGGGCCCTGCCTGGTGATGGAGCTGGGGAGCAAGGGAGAACTTCCTCCTGGGACTTGCTGCCCTCAACGGTGGCAGAGGGCTGGGCCTGCTTGGGGCCATTGCAAGCTGGCAGAGGCTCTTCCTCCTCAGAGGAGCTGGCTTCAGACTCTTCCCCCTCAATTTCCTTGTCTTTTAAGGGCTCTTGAATCTCAGATTCGTCTTCTCCCTGGGCCGGATCAGATGGCAGCTCTTCTTCACTTGCTGATGAGGAGTCCCTCTCACTCTTCAGAGAAAGGGCAGAGGGACTGGTAGGTGAGGTCAGGGGGCTGGGGGCTTCAGATGTGCGAACTGGGGAAGAGATGACTAAAGAGCGCCTGCTGCTGGTGAAACAGAAAGAGCATTCAAGATTCAGAAGCAACCCCAACACACCCCCAAATAAATAAAGATGCACGCACATAGTAATAAAACGGAACAAAGCAATGGAAGATATAAGAAGGGTTGTATATACTTTGCAATAATGCTTCTATTATAAAGCGAAAAAGAGGCTATACAATTTTATCCATATCACGATCTCAGTTACGTAAAAATATATAAAGAAAACAAGACTGGAAAGAAACACTGCAAAACACTGATAAAATAGTTTCTCTGTGGGACACATTCTACGGGTGATATACAGCTGATCCTTGAGGAGTCTCTATTTGCAAATTCACCTACTCCCTAAAATTTATTTGCGACTCCAAAATTAATACTCATGATGCTTCTGCAGCCAGCCATGGACATATGTGAGCTTTGAAAAATGAGTGCCCAACAAGCATTTTACAAGAAGAGTCTAACAAGGCAATCATCTGCCTTGGTTCAGCTCTCACACTGCAAATGTGTCCTTTTGGCCATGTTTTTCACATTGTTGTGCTTTTTGTTTGTGATTTTGCTGTTTAACATGGCCTCCAAGTATAGCGCTAAAGTGCTTCGAGCTAGAAGACTGTGATGTGCCCAAAAGAGAAGAAACACATGTTAGAGAAGCTTTACTCAGGCATGAGTTGTGGTGCTGTTGGCTAGGAGCTCAATATGAAGGAGTCAACAACGTGTATTACTTCTTTATTTAGAGGGAGGAAGAGCAAGGGCAAGTTGGGGGAGAAGCAGAGGGAGACGGAGAATCTCAAGCAGATTCCACGCTGAGCTCAGAGCCCACTGTGGGGCTTGATCCCACAACCCTGAGATCATGACCTGAGCCGAAACCAAGAGAGTCGGATGCTTAACTGACTGAGCCATACAGGTGCGCCAACAATGTGTATTAAATAAGGTGTCTTCAAACAAAAACACACACGGGACTGGGCGATGGAAACACTGGGAGCTGGAGCTCACAGGAACCTAACTCTGGGTTTCCCTTAGCAACAATGGTTCAGTATTCACTAATTCGGTGCTCACCGTGACTCTACTGAGCCACACAGGCATCCCAAGTGATCACATTCTTTTTTTTTTTTAATTTTTATTTATTTTATGATAGTCACACAGAGAGAGAGAGAAAAAGGCAGAGACACAGGCAGAGGGAGAAGCAGGCTCCATGCACTGGGAGCCCAACATGGGACTCGATCCCTGGGTCTCCAGGATCGCGCCCTAGGCCAAAGGCAGGCGCCAAACCGCTGCGCCACCCAGGGATCCCAAGTGATCACATTCTTAAGGACCACTGAATTGCATATGTTTAACCAGCATAAGGAAAGTATGAACAATACACACACACACACACACACACACACACACAGAAAAAGTAAGCCCTATAGGTTAAGAACATATTCGCAGAGAGTATCATTAAAGCATTACTATCCAGAATACACACAAAAAAATACCTCCTATAGATGAAATTTTTAAAACAAGGTAAGTGGGTTCCCTAGGTGGCTCAGCGGTTGAGCACCTGCCTTCAGCCCAGGGCCTGATCCTGGAGTCCCGGGATCGAGTCCCAAGTCGGGCTCCCTGCATGGAGCCTGCTTCTCTCTCTGCCTGTGTCTCTGCCTCTCTCTATCTCTGTGTCTCTCATGGATAAATAAATAAATAAATAAAATTTAAAAAAATAAAAAAGGGTAAGCAATCTAAATGAAAAATGTGAAAACAATGATAAATAGGCAAGTCACAGAAAGGAACATTAAATGGCCAATAACAGGAAAAGCTGTGCCAGCTAACTAGCCACTGTGGAGATATGAATTAAAATTGCAAAAAAATTCCATTTCATACTCATTAGTTTGGAAAAATTAGTAAGTCTGATAATGTTACAGGTAGCAAAAATATGGAGCAATGGGGGCTTTTGTTTACTGCTGGTGGGTTATAAGTTAGAACGGTCACTTTGGAGAGCCCTTTGAAAATGACAATGCCTGGTAAGGCTGAAGGGGCCCAAATGCACAGACTATGACTCAGCAGCTCCACTCCCAATATACACCCTAAGGAAATTCCTGGTAATGCTCACAGGAGAAATGTTAAATGTGTCCATTGCAGCTTATTTGTAATAGCAAGAAACTGGAAAACAACCCAAATGTCTATGAGCAGGAGGACAGATAAATAAATTGTGGACTAGCCAAACAACAGCATCCAGAACAGTTATAGAAAGGGAAGACCAGAGCTAGCAACATTAGCAGCCGGATAAATGAACCTCACAAACAATATGAAGAGAACGAAAGGTGTTCCAAAAGTACACATACAGTGTAATTCCATTTTATAAAGTTTAAAAACATGCAAAACCACCTTTTCTGTGTGTGCGTACATGTGTATAAGTAAAGTAAAAAGATAAGTGTGGGAATAATAAATACTAAATTTAAGACCGTGGTTGCCTTGGGCGAGGGGCAGGATGAGTTGGGGCGGTGGGGGGACACTGGGCACTTCAATGATAAGTATAGTAGCTGATTTCTTAAATTTGGTGGTAGCTATATGGCTATTATATTATTCTTTTTATTATGTTATTCTTTATACCTTTTGTGATGCCTGAAATATTTCATACATGAAAAAAGAGGGGCGCCTGGGGGGCTCAGATGGTTGGGCATCTGCCTTTGGCTTGGGTCATGATCTCCAGGTCCCAGGATGGAGCCAAACAGAGGGCAGGCGGGCTCCCAACACAGTGAGGAGCCTGCTTCTCCCTCTCCCTCTGCTTCTGCCCCTGCTTGTGCTCTCTGTCTCTCCCTCAAATGAATAAAAAAAAAAAATCTTTAAAAAAATAAAGAAAAAAATAATTCATATGGAAGCATAATACAAATAACAAACAGTACCAAGCACGGCAAACACAAAGGGAGGGCCAGGATTGGGGATGGAAATGAGAGTGTTGCGTATGCTCACAGGACAAGCCAAGTAGCAAAGAGTCTCAGGAGTTGCTCACCTTGATACTCCCTTCACCACAAAGACTTTGTTGGAATGTTGCTTCTCCAGTTTGCTCATCACCTCATAGAGGCTGTGGTTCAGCTAGAGCCAGTGAGAGAGACGGGTTACTGGCCAGTGGGAACCCGAGACTGGAATATCCCTTCTCTTTTCCCTTTCAGATGGTTTCCAAAAGAAAACCTCCCCACCTTTCACTGTAAAGCTCCTTCCCATCCATCTCTTTGTCCAGGGTCCCGTCCTGCCACCCCTTCTTCCTGGACTGTCTGTGTCATAGGTTTTGCCTCTTCCAACATAAGATAAGTGGCTCTCTCAAGGCTGGGTCCTTGAGGTTTGAGGTCGGATTTGAGGTTCTAGCTTCTCTCAGGTAATCCAGAGAATAAAAACTCACCGTGATATTAAGGAGGCAAACCATAACTTAGCTACCGCAGATGTGGAGAGGAGTATGTGAGTGTGTGCATGAATTTAATTAATGTAACAGCAGAGTCTTGGAATCCCAGGACCAGAAAATGCCCCACGAGGTTGTGTTCTGTGGCTGCCAGTCACTGAGGAGGACTGGCCTTCTCTACTCACGCCCAACTTCCTGAGAAACGGACCTGTGCTTGAACACTGCCCTCTTTGTTCCCCAGCGACAAAAGATAAAGATTTCACAGCTTGGTTCCCCATTTCAGCTATTCCTTCCCTCAGGCCTAACCTCCTTTATTCATCTGAAGCTCAAGTATGGATGCCATTATCCAGTTGTTAATGGAGACGGGGAGGACTCTCTGCTGTGTATACACGTGCTTTACCACAGTTCCAGGCGGTCAGTGAAGTGCTATTGTTTTCATCATGAGAGAAAAGTAAAAACTTGTGGTGCTAACATCAGTACTTAATGAGATGATGTAAATTTGGGCTACTTTCATATTTCCTAAAAAAGCCCACCTCGGTGACTACACGGGCCAGAGGTTTCTCACCTTGCTCATCTCCCTGTAGAAGACATCCCTCAAGTTGGAAATGTTTTGGAAGATGGTCACGTAACAGCCAATACGACTATCAGGAGGCAAAACAAAACAAAACAAATCAAAACAAAATAATGACAAAACCCCCACAACACCTACAGGTAAGGGTTGGTAACGGCAATCTTTGAAATACAAGGTAGGACCTTAAGCCAACACCAGCCAACACCAAGATTCCTCAGAGAAGAGCACCCCGTACCCTAGACTCAGAATGTTCTGGAATCTGATTCTTCAGAGCCAGGCCCATAGCACACTTGACTCTCAGAGGGGTGGGAAAGTCAGAGGAGATACTTATCAGCCCAGTCTGAGACCTGCAGTTGCATGAAGACCTCTTGATTCAGGTTCTTTAGGTATTAAAGTAGATATGAATGAAAATACTCTGAAGGATTTTTAAAGTGCTGTATAAATATAAGCCCACACAATGATAATTATTATAATAAATAATTATTCTTTCTCATTATGCAATACTTGGACTTCTCCGAAGCCGCATGCACATTAGTGGAATTCTACTATAAATAAATTGGGGAAGTTTATGTTTAAAGAAACTGTATTAAACTTCAATGCTATCTAAATAAAGAGTCACATAATTAGTGTTTTAGAATGCACGGAGTTATTCAAAAGGCTGCGTCACACATAGACTAATATTAAGCGGCAATATAAAATAGTGACTACAGCCGCACTACAGCGTATCTTGTACAATGAAGATAGGACACAGACAGAATTTCTACTCAGGTGCCTCTAAACACTTTTACCTCCTGTGAAGCGAAGACGTCATTAATAGAAACAATCATCCCACGGTTTATCTTCTATGTCAATCTGGATGTTCACCAACCAGGCTTGTTTAAAACAATACACACTTACGCACGAAACCAGATATTCCCGGTTCCCATGAGGACGGAAATTTACTTGCCAAGAGCCCTCCTATCCCAGAAACATCTTGCCTTTAGACCGGAAAAGCTGGCAGGGCGAGCCTGGCTATCTGTGCGTTACAGACGAAGGACCCAGGGTCTGGGGTGATAAGACAGTTTGCTTAGTGTCGCCCAGCAAGTCAGTAGCCGGGCTGAGGCGACCTCCAACTCCCGGAACAGAGCTCTTCTCGAGAGGGGACATTCGTGGGTTGCCGGGGAACCTGGGCCTCCAGTGGCCCAGGAGGCCAGGCCTTTCCTGACTGTCAATCATTACCTATGATAAAGAACAGGCAGTTCCTCTAGCAGTTCCTGGTTCAGGTCTTCAAAGACACTCTGGGCTTTGTTGAACTCTTCCTCTGCCTGGGGGGTAAAGGTGACAGGAGTTCCCCTCAATCCGGGGTCTAAGGTGGGAACCAGCCTCCTTGAGTCTCTCCCTGCATTTTTCAGGGACTGGGCTGACTTGGAGTCATGCCCCCCCCTTCCCCAGACCCATGCCCTCCCAAGCCTTGCGTCTCTATCTGTAGAGCATCCGTGTCAGGGGAAGCAGGATTTCCTTCAGGACACTGGATGCTGAATTTATCTTTTCCTAAACCCAATAAAATGTTATTTTATTTTATTTTATTTATTTTAAAGATTTTATTTATTTATGCATGAGAGACACACAGAGAGAGGCAGAGACACAGGCAGAGGGAGAAGCAGGCTCCATGCAGGGAGCCCGACGTGGGACTCACTCCCAGGTCTCCAGGATCAGGCCCTGGGCTGAAGGCAGCGCTAAACTGCTGAGCAACCCGGGCTGCCTGAATTTATCTTTTCCTAAACCCAGCCTGGCCCAGCCACCTGCCACCATTATGAGCGAGGGAGGGCAGGAAGGTTTCGCCAGGCTTTTTTTTTTTTTTTTTTTTACCTTGGCAGTCTTGGCCTCATCTTTCTTCTTGGCATTCTGCACCGCCTCCAGGTGGTGTCGGGCACTGTCGTAGTCCACAAGTTTCCGGCCCCGCTTGGCAATCCTTTCCTAAGCCAGAGTCAGGAGAGAGGCCCTTGATACTCATTTCAGTGGCCAGGATGCAGGCAAACACAGAGGCACAATTCCTCGGTCCTGTTACCAAATTTCACTTTCTAACAGCTTTGTGCCTAAGGGATTTCCCTTACTATTCGGAAAGAATAGGGATTCTGGTGGGAGGTGGGAGGCAGAGTAAAGGGAAATCCTCCAGAGCACATGGAAGCCTGCACTAAATGTTAAGTTCTCCTATGAGCCCACTAAAAACTGGTTCAGCCTCCGGGAGAAATGGCCTTGGGAATCCAGCTGAATTCAAAGTCAGGACTTTGGGGTCTTATTACCAACGCTGTCACTTAATTAGTCTTGTGACGGAGGGCAAGGCGCATCTCTTCTGGAACTTCAGCAGCCTCACCTGCCCTACAGGGTTACTTCAAAGATCAAACGCTGACTACAAAGTGCTTTGAGAACTCTAAAGCATAATAAAAATAGTAAATTATTGTGTGCACTGGAGAGGGCATCTACGCAGTCTCATCCAAACTACAAAACCAGTCATAGATTTTGCAAGAATCTTATCTGGATTATCTGGTCCAACTTCCTGTGTAATAATACTTGGGGCTTCTCTGTAATAATCAAAATAAGTAGTTCACCTTCTGCTTAAAATTGAACTTCAACTCCCAACCTCACGGTATATTTCAGTTTTTGGAAGCTCTATGAGAAACTTAAGTCAGGATCCCTCTAATTTCTCCCTATTAATCGACCAGCAGTGCAGTGCCTGACGGAGTAGATGGGTTATAAATCCAAGCTGAGGGATCCCTGGGTGGCGCAGCGGTTTAGCGCCTGCCTTTGGCCCAGGGCGCTATCCTGGAGACCCAGGATCAAATCCCACATCGGGCTCCCAGTGCATGGAGCCTGCTTCTCCCTCTGCCTGTGTCTCTGCCTCTCTCTCTCTCTCTCTCTGTGACTATCATAAATAAATAAAAATTTTAAAAAAATAAATAAATCCAAGCTGAATGAATCAATGAATTGCTTTCTGTTTTCTGAAACAGTTTAGAATAGGCTGCATCCCTCTTTCACCTAATAGACCTCCAAGTATTGGATGAGAATTATTATGACTCCTCAAAGTTTCTTCTTCTCTACAGTAAACATATCGGCTATTTTTTTTTTCACCACTAAAGGGGATGCCCTGACCTGGACCTAATTCACAACCAGTTCAGGGACGCCTGGGTGGCTAGGCGGTTGAACGTCTGCCTTGGGCTCAGGTCGTGACCCCAGGGTCCTGGGATTGAGTTCCGCATTGGGTTCCCCCCGCAGGGAGCCTGTTTCTCCCTCTCCCTGTGTCTCTGTCTCTCATGAATAAATGGCACCTTTTTTTTTTTTAGATTTTATTTATTTATTCATGAGAGACACAGAGAGAGAGGGAGAGAGAGAGAGAGAGAGGCAGAGACACAGGCAGAGGGAGAAGCAGGCTCCATGCAGGGAGCCCGACGTGGGACTCGATTCTGGGTCCCCAGGATCAGGCCCTGGGCTGAAGGTGGTGCTAAACCACTGAGCCACCCAGGCTGCCCCTAAATAGCATCTTAAAAACAAAAACAGTTAGGATCTAGTTCACCGAAACCTAATTCTAAACGTGCCCTTGACACCTCTAATCCTCTACCCCAACCTCCTGTCCAGCCTCCTACTTTTAATCCTTTTTCCTAAGCCTCATTCCTAACCATGGGCTGCAACTCTATTTGCGATGCTTACTCTATGTTTTCTAACTTCTGGGGGCCACTCGTGACCCACCCTTGACTTTGCAGATTGATTACCTTAATCTCGCTGAACTGGGCTACGTAGTTTTCCATGGTCCTCAATGCCTGGTCAGCTAGTTTCTCTTCATAGTCTTCCCAGAGGAGATCATTATTCTGTGGGGCAGAGGCAGGGGGCAGAGGTGAGGGCCCCGCTTCTCGGCAACCACTGCACACCAGGGAAAAACCCAAATTCTTCCTGCCGCAAACTTCCCTTTTGAAGCACTGTGTTTAGACTGTCGTGTTGGGTTCTGGCAAAGGGTCAGATGAAGAAACAGCCCTACCCCCAGGAACTGCCCTGTAAGACACTGGACATACATTCAGGGATCAAGAACAGAAGAGATGGTCAGAGTCTTGGATTCTAGAGCCCGAGGGACAAGGAAATTGGAGAGGAAAAAAACTGCATGAAGGTGGTTTTCAAAGACAACCAGTTGGGTTTTCCGTAGGTACAACCCCCATAAAGCGGGGAAGCCGGCCTTCCACGGAGGAATCCGCAGATTAGGGAAAGCTTGTTTTTACCTTCACGGTTGTTGCTTTTTGCTACAGCCCAGGGCTGAAGCTATACAAATGAAGGATGAGGGTTGGCTCCTTTGCTTTCCTATTTGCTCCGATGCAGAAGCTAAGAGAAGGCTGAGGGGAGGGCAGGAGTGAGTCCTGAAGAGCTGTAAAGCCAGGACACTCTTACCCCTACGATGGCCTTCAGCTCCTCGTGACCGTCCCACTCGCTGCTGTAGATCTCCTGCAGCGTTTCTGACACTCTCTTGGAGCTTTCATGCATCACTGAAAGGAGAGGAGTCAGTCCTACCCTACGGTCACCCCAGAGGGAGGCCAGTAGCATCATACCGGAGCACGGGCAGATCAGTGGGTCCATTTCAGAAGGACGTGCCCCAGAAGGTTTGGGTGATCTGTCAGGAAAGCTGGACGGGGCTGGGACAGGAAAAGTTGCTTCCCTGATACCCACAAGTTCCAGGAATCAGGGGCAGGCGAGTGATAAAACGCCTGAGAATGGCTGTTTTTCTTTCCGACCTCAGAGTTCTCAGGAGCTTGATTCTCCCGTGGAACATACGACCCACCTTTGACTGCACTAAGGAAGTTCTTCAGGTCCTTGTAGAGCTTCTGGCCTTCTGCCTGAAAGGGACAAGCGCTTTGGTGACTACAGAGATATGTTTGGAAAGATGCATTAGAGGTCAAGGTAGAAAAGTAGGTTAAAAGCAGAAATCAGTCCTGGAATTTGCAAATGTGATAAATTAGCCTCTGTTCTCTTCACCAAGAAGTTGTGGGTTGTCTTTGGGGGGGGGGCAGGTTTTTTTTTTTTAAAGATTTTATTTATTTATTCATGAGAGAGGCACAGAGAAAAGCAGGGACACAGGCAGAGGAAGAAGCAGGCTCCATGCAGGGAGCCCGATGTGGGACTCGATCCCGGGACCCCGGGATCACAACCTGAGCCAAGGAAGATGCTCAACCGCTGAGCCCCCCTGACGCCCCAGGAGGGGGCAGTTTGTTTGGAGACTGTTCCCTCGGACGGGCAGGTCTTCTTTTCTCTGTTCTCCCTTCCAGTGAACAAAAGCCTATACCCCAGTTCCTCTGCTGAAAATTAAGGGTCCTGTGTGACACTATCACTTTGTGACCCTCTGGCTGACATGTCCCTCACTGGGTAGGTAAACTGCCACCATCTTCTGCAAACACCGGGCCTTCTTCCTCCCCTGAACCCTCACACAGGCCATTCCCCTCCTCCCGATGTCCTTCCCTGCCTCGCCTCCCTTTCCCCTTCCCTCTGCCAGTCACGTGTTTTACACCTCTCTTCCAAATGTCTTATCACTGAGTTTCCTCCTGTTCCAACTCCGATGGCCTCATCCTTAGCTCTATCCACCTACCCAATCCTATCTTTGCTCCCGAGTCTGAATTCTCACTTTTTTAAGGCTGGGACTCCCACGCACAGATTAGGTCTCCTCCCTGTTTAAAAAAAAGAAGAAGAAGAAGGGAGAAAGGAGAGGAAGGTATCATTTAAGTTTGGAAGTTCAAATCTCCACCCAACAGATGAACCACTTTTAACTTGGACAAATGTTCATTCAGCCTCTGCAACCAGAAACTCATGCCCTCTTGCTGAGGCTGTGCTTCGGTTTTAAATAGTGCTGCTAGAACTTTTGCCCCCTGGTCTTGGGCTGGCCTTCTGTACTCAGAGCGGACCTGACTTCTCTTGCACATATGTTGGAAGACATCTTTCCCATACCCTGCACCAAGTCTTCTCTCTCATAGGCCTCCTCTATCATCCCTCACGGGGTTATTTAAAGCCCCTTCCCCAGGGGGCTTTGGCTCAGGTCATGATCCCAGGGTCCTGGTAAGGACCGAAGGGGCAGCCTACTTAAGGGTCAGGGTATGCTACGGGGCCAGGCTATGGGGCAGAAGAGTGATCCTCACACTCGTTCACGGGAAGGAGTGTTTAAGCTAAGATGCATGATGCAGTACACCATAAAATACTTGTGAACTTGTTCATTTGTTTTACTTGCTTGCGTTCATCACTAGGTAGGCTATTGAGCATACCAAGAGTATACAAAAATTTATGGGAGAGAAACTGAAAATCAGAAAATTCTATCTAACAACTTAAATTACAATTTTTTTTATCTATGGGGGCAGGGGGTAGTTGCACCTGGGTGGCTCAGTCGGTTAAGCATCTGACTCTCGGTTTCAGCACAGGTCGTGATCACGGGATTGGCCCCCACATTGGGCTCTGCACTCAGCGGGGAGTCTGCTTGGGGTTCACTCTCTCCTTCCTCTGCTCCTCCCCTGCCCCCACTCTCTCTCTCTCAAATAAATATATTTTAAAGTTTTCATTTTTCAAAAGGACTTTATTTATTTATTTGACACAGAGAGAGCACAAGCAGAAGGAGCAGCAGGCTGAGGAAGAGGGAGAAACAGGCTCCCCATCGAGCAGAGAGCCCGATGTGGGGCTCCATCCTGGGACCCTGAGATCATGACCAGAGCCAAAGGCAGACACTTAACCAACTGAACCACCTAGGTACCCTCAAATAAGTAAATTAAAAAAAAATTTTTTTTATCTGTGGAAATCTTTGCAGGAAAGATCATTATTATGTAAATTTAGCAGCAGAAAATCTAGGTCAACTCGGTCAAAGAAAACTGGAGTAATTATTTCATCCATCTTTTGGCCTCACTTCTAAGCTATTCCAAACTCTTGACTGTATGTCAGGTTAAAAGTGCTTGGGGCTGAATGCCAGGGCTCAAGGGACACGAAGCCACAGACAGTCTCAAGGGAGTCTAAGACATCGTCAGAGAGGTAGAAGAACTGCCATTGTGTGATGTGTCGCAGCAAGTGAGGATCAGAAGAGCATCAGAGAAGTGACCAAGGAGGGGCCAGATGCTTACAGAGAGGCCAGAGTGCAGGCAGAACCAGTCATAGTCACTGGACTTGGTAACTGGAGGTCACTGGTAGCCTTGAGAAAGTGCTTTCAATTGCAAGATGGAGACAGTCACCAAAATTCAGAAACACTCAGCATTCACTAGGAAGGATGTTTCACTTCCTCTTTGCCTTTTCATTCATGGAAAAAAGTGTAAATAGCCTAAGATGTCCAACGTACATAGAATATTTTAAATATAGATACAATAAGTGGGTATAAGTTTGAGAGTTTTATTTTATTTTATTTTATTTTTTGTTTGAGAGTTTTAAAAATGTGATAGCTGAAGTTTGAAAGTTTTGAAAGAGCTTGGGGGATTATAAAAATTAACAAGGATTTCAAGTTCTTTTTTTTTTGAAGGAAAAGAACATGGGCTCAACTTTTAACTTCACCAAAATACACATCTAAGTAACAAAAGCTGTTAAACCATCTTGCATAATTACTACAAATGAAATAATAATGGTTTTTATCCCGCTAGATATTATATGGCCTGGAAAATCAGATCAGCAATCAAGGCCACCATGCACGACTAGGCAAGTTGTATGTACGCTGTTCAAAACCAGAGGGTTCTGTTGATACCAGAGTCCCTAAAATGAGAATGCCTTCTGCCTACCCCTGCCCCTCACAAGAGACCAACTCCACTTCTGTGTTTTAGGATCAAGCCTCTAAGGCCAAAATTCCTCCTTTATGCTCTTGCTGTTTCCTTTGAGGAGATAAAGTGTGGGTGTGGGTGCGGTGGTGGCAGTGGAAGTCAGGCGGCAGGACACTGAGTGTCATTTTATTTCTCTGGCCTGTCTGTCCCTGACCCCACCCCCAAAACGTTCTCAGACTGAAGAGTCCCAGTATCTTTCATTATATATATATATATATATATATATATATATATATATATATATATATATATATTTGACAGAGTGAGAAAGCACAAGCAGGGGGAGAAGAGGGAGAAGAAGGCTCCCCGCTGAGCAGGGAACCTGATGCGGGGCTTGATCCCAGGAGGCCAGGACCTGAGCCAAAGGCAGTCGCCCAACCAACCGAGCCACCCAGGCGCCCCATCTTTCTTCTTTCTTGACAATGACTTTGATAGTCTTAGGTTCCCCCTTGTTCGGGAGTCAAAGGCTTGCAAGTTAGTCTACTTTTCTGGCTTCATTTTCCTTCTCTATGAATATTGGGTAAGACCATTTCTAGCCCTGTTTCTTACGTTTTTTTTTTCACTTGGGCTCTCTGAGTTCTTGCTGAATTCTTGGCAGCGCCATAAAGAGTCGTCAGTGCTCCCTATCTCATACATGAACGGCCCCAGCCCCAAGTTAATGGACCATGCACTCTGGCAGCTTGTCTGAAGCACACAGGCAGACAAAGCTCTGTGCTTAGAAAGTCCCTGTCCTGGGGTTCCCCACTTGCTGGAGAGAAATGGACTCAGAGAAACCCAAACACTCAGCAAAACAGTAAGTAGCATGATCAGTCTTGAGCAAGTGCTGAAAATGCTTGTTTTGATGGAGGTCCAGAAGGGAGACAAGAAGCTGAACTGTTAGGTTTGATTTGATTTATCTATTTACCTATTTATTTATTTGAGAGAGAGAGTATGTGTGAGCATGAGTGGGGGAGGGGCAGAGGGAGAGGAGGAGAGAAAATCTCCAGCATATTCCCTGTGAAGCCTGATGTGGGGCTCGATCTCAAGACCGAGGTCATGACCTGAGCAGAAATCAAGAGTCAGAGGCTTAACTGACTTAAGCTATTCAAGTGCCCCCATTAGGTTTGATTTTACAGGCAATGAATTGGAAGCAGCTGTCACCACCAGAAAGATGAGATTAAAATATTCCTTGAGGAAATCAATTCTTCCTATTTAATATGGTTTGGAGAGGAAGCAAAGCAGAGCCCTCAAAGAAAACCTACCTATGGACATTTGATTAGGGGCAAGGCCTTGAAATCAGGCTGGGAAGCCTGGGAGGGATATTTGTTTATTAATAAAAGTTTACCTACAAGTTGGTTGTGGTAAGGGACTGGGCACATGCCCAACAGGTCCAACTTCTGGAATACTCCACTTTCAGTCTCCTTGATCTTGCCTTTCTCCCTCCTGTTCATCTTAGCCAGCCCAGGTGCCGTGTCAGACCGGACTGTGTTGTCGCTGTCTTTGTCCTTACAGGGTGAGAGCCTGAGGACAGCTGTGTGTCCTCTTCATGCTGAAGTCCCAGAGCCTGGCACAGTGCCCAGCGTGCGGCAGGCTCCCATGACATGCTCATGAAACGACCTTGCCAGGCCTGCTCACATAACTGGTGTTACTAGAGGTAAATCATTGTCCCAGGAGAAAAGTTTCCCTTACCCTTATTCTACCTCCGTTTCATTTCTCAAATAGATCTCCTGCCCCCTTCAGGTGACATTCAGCTGGTGGCCTCCACGCAGGGAATGCTGAGGGGACTGGCACATCTGATCCCCTTATTCTTCTTGATGGCCCCTCCTTCATCTACCCAAGCTTTCTACCCACACACCTGCCTTCAGTAGATCCAGCCTTTAAGGCAGAGAGGAAGAGGGAGGACCGAGGGACAGAATGGCCAAGAGTCAGAAACCTCATGACCTGGGTGTTGACTTAGTCCTGTTCTGTTCACGCTGCCGTTGGAAGCAGAACAGCAACTGCCGTTGAGCAGAGGCCCACGGAGGCCTCCTAGACAGGCGCAGGCGGAGAAGCACAGGGTTTAAGTTGCAATCCTAGCTCCGCAACTCTTCCGCCTTTCCCTTGATTAAATCGCTTCTCAGATCCTATTTCCGGCCCCCCTCCCCCTGGGTTAGACTAAATCAGTGGTTGCCAAATGCTGTTCTCAGACTAGCTACTACATCATAATTACCTAGAAAGCTTAAAATAAAACACAGATTCCCTAGTTAATGATCAGCCAAGGCTGTTCATGTCACACCAAAAAGGAGACAAGCAGACATTAGGTGCCTCCAGATGGAAAAATATCACACCTATAATAACAAGTATTCCTGCCACCCAAACAAACAAAAACAAAACTCTGAATCTCCTCAAGCCTCTAATCTAACTATTAATTTACAGAAACTGCAAGAGACATAGGAACATGTTTAACAATGCGATGGGGCTTCAATCAGTCAAGTTTAGACTGCAGGAAGCTTTGAGAAAACAACCCGGTGTCACCAACAAATAAACTATAAGCAGGGAGGGATCAGACACCCGCAGATGAAGAGATTTAACTTTCAATCTGAGAGACTTAAACATGCCAACAAGTTGCTGATTTACACACACACACACACACACACACACACACACACACACGACATAACCACATTGAACATTGACTGGATATCTTATATTAAGAAATTATTGCTACTTTTTGAAGATATCACCTAATCTCACATTTTAGTGGGATATCTGAAAAGATATTTGTATTATATCTTTCTTTTTAAGATTTATTTATTCATGAGACACACAGAGAGAGGTAGGGAGAGAGGCAGAGGGAGAAGCAGGCTCCCTGAGGGGAGCCGGACGTGGGACTGGATCCGGATCCCAGGATCACAACCTGAGCCAAAGGCAAACGCTCAACTGCTGAGCCACCCAGGCATCCCTTGTAATATAATGTTAACTGAAAAGAGCAAGTTATAAAGCCATTATCAATGGAACAATCCTACTTTTGTAAACCTCATATTTATTAACCGCGGGTTTACTTAGAGATCATACATATTCATAGCAGAATGACCGAAAGGATGTAAAACAACAGTGGTGGTAGCATGGGAGGGTGTGAAATCAGGATTAAAAAAAAATTTATTCATTTATTTGAGAGAGAGAGAGAGTGAGAGAAAACACAAGCGGGGGCGGGAAGGAGGAGCAGAGGGAGCCGGAGAAGCAGGCTCCCTGCTAAGAAGGGAGCCCCAACTTGGCTGGATCCCAGGACCCTGGGATGATGACCCGAGACAAAGGCAGACGCTTCACTGACTGAGCCACCCAGGTGCCCCCAAATCAGGATTTTTTAATTCAGGTTTTTCTTGTCCTTTCTGGTTTGTTGTAATACGTAAATGTCTCTTAGAAAAATATTTTTAGGTGTGATAATGGCTTTGTGTTTATATTTTAAAAGAGCCTTTATTTCTACAGACTGATAATAAAATTTTTATGGATAAAATGATGTGGTATGTAGAATTTGCCTCATAGTAATCAAGACTGGAAGAAAGTAGGTAGAGACATAAATGAGTTGATTATTAAAGCTGAGAGATGGGTGCATACATGTGGAGTAATTATACACATTTTCCTTTTTTTAAAAAAGATTTTATTTATTTATTCATGATAGACACAGAGAGAGAGAGGCAGAGACACAGGCAGAGGGAGAAGCAGGCTCCATGCAGGGAGCCTGATGTGGGACTCGATCCCAGGACTCCAGGATCACACCCTGGGCTGAAGGCAGGGCTAAACTGCTGAGCTACCCGGGATCCCCAAATTTTCCTATCTTATATATTTGAACTCTTCCATTAAAACTACTTTAGGGGTGCCTGGGTGGCTCAGTCGGTTAAGCATCTGCCTTCGTCTCAGGTCATGATCCCGGGGTCCTGGGAGGGAGCCCCTGCATCGGGCTCCCTGCTCAGCAGGGAGTCTGCTTCTCCTCTCCCTCTGCTGTTCCCCCACTCATTCTCTCTCTCTGTCAAATAAATAAATAACATCTTAAAAAAAAAAAGAAGTAGATGGCCAGCTTAATATTCCATGGGATATTTCACTTTCTGTCTCATGTGCCTGGCATTGTGCATAGTCTCATTTAATTTTCACATCAGCCCCAGAGGTTGCAATCCCCTCTTGATAATAGGAGGAAGTTATGGGATGCCTGGGTGGCTCAGTGGATGAACGTCTGTCTTTGGCTCAGGGCATGATCCTGGGTCCTGGGATCGAGTCCCACGTCCAGCTCCCTGCATGGAACCTGCTTCTCCCTCTGCCTATGTCTCTGCCTCTCTCTCTCTCTCTGTGTCTCTCATGAATAAATAAATAAAATCTTTAAAAAAAAAAGGAAGGGAGTTATTAATTTACATGAATATCCAGTTGTAACGCAGTTCTCCTACTTAACTACTCAGGTCACGGTTCACAGGTTAAGGGCACAGGCCCCCACTAGACTGCTTCACTTCAGACATCAGCCACTGGCCACCTAGACTTCTGACCAACGCTACAAATCTGGGGGTTCCTACTAGCCACGGAGCTTCCATAATCCATGAGAACAACCCACAGAACTCAGGAGAGTGCTCTATTTATTTTTATTTATATTTATTTATTTATTTATATTTATTTATTATTTATTTATTTATTTATTTATTTATTTATTTATTTATTTATTTATTTATTTATTTTTATCTTTATTTTTTTTTTTGAGTGCTCTATTTATAATTAAAGTTTTATTATAAGTGATACAGACCAGGACCAGCCAAGCGAAGAGACACACAAGGTAAGGTCTGGGGGAGTTCCAGACAAGAAGCTTCTGTGTTCTCAAGACATGTCACCTTCTCAGCATGTTGGTACAGGATTACCAACCAGGGACGCTCAGCCATGCGTCAGGTGTCTAGAGTTTTTTTAATGTGATTGCACTACATAGTGAATCACTGGCCACATGATTGAATTGAATCCCTAGCTCCCTTTCTCTCCCTGCCACTGGAGGTCAGGCTGATTTCACCTGTCTCCAAGCCCCAGCCCTCTAATCACCTGGTTCATCTTTCCAGCCTGACCCGCCACCATCCTGAGTCATTTGTGTAGCATACACTGACTTACATCTGGGAGGCCCACCGTGAATAACAATCACATTCCTATCCCTCAGGAAATCCCAAAGACTTAGAAGCTTCTTCCCAGGAACTGGGAACAAAGGCCAGCCAAATTCTTTACTGGATGATATCAGTAAATTGAATTATATGGGAAATAATTCTTTAAAATCATACTAAAAGGACATTCACTGTAATCTAACTCCGCAGTTGACTGTATATCAGAATCACTTGGGAAATATTTTTAAACGCGAGATCTCTGGTAGTAGGGCTTGGGAATCTGTACTTTTAAACATGTTTTTTGTTTGTTTTGGATGTTTTGGGTTTTTTAAAACAATGCTTTCTTAATTTTACTTGAGACAGAGAGGGTACACGTGCACAGAGTGTTTGTTGCTGAGAATGACATGTGAAAGATGGGGGTATTATTTAGAAATGAGGGCTCAGGTGAGGCAGATGGAGTGGACAAAGAGGCAACAGGAAAAATAGGGTGCTGCTCAGATGAGAAGAACCAGAGGGTGGGAAAGAGGCACCCTGGGGAAGCGGTAAGCCAAAAACAAAGGTGGCAGGAGCTCACTGCCACTTTGTCTAAGAACCTGGTGATGCCCCTGTGGTCTGGGGGAACCACTAAGAGAAAAAAAAGAACACTTACCTGTCCCCCAAAATGCAGGTCAGCAGGAACGAGAAAGGGAAGCTTCTCTGGTACCCAGGGAAGGGGTAAGCAGCAGGTCACCCTGCAGCCCTTACCCCTGGGGGAAGGATGGGTTAGCAGGGATGCCTGTTGGTTTGCAGGACCTGCTGCTCTTCGATCACCCAGCCCTCGTCTTCTTTATCCCTCCAAGCTTCCCTTCCCCACCCTCTAGATTACCTGTTGATGATAGAAGTTGTTGGCACTTTGTTCAAACCGTTCATCTTTGGTTTCCACAGTTTTCCCCAACTTCTGCAACACCTGGGAATGTGAGTTGGAAAAGTCCCTAAGGTTATAGTCAGGTCTCACTCATCTGTTGGCCTCATATGACCCTGGCTTTCAGAGTCTCAGATGCAATTAAAAGGCTGTGCTCCTCACAGCCCAATAGAATTAAAAATATAGCACACTGCTAGAAAAACAAACAAACAAACAAACAAACCTACTAACAACCACATTTTGTGATTCTTCTCAAATTGGGATCCTTCTGCGGGTATGCAGCAGTGTGCTAGGGGGTATATATAAAGCCTGGAATAAGTATGGCACATGTGTTGGGAATGACATTTATTTGCAGTGGGGTTTTTTTTTGGGGGGGGAGAGTATTATATTAAAAAGAAGGATTCATAAGAAGAATGTAAAATGTGCATTGCTTTTATTTATTTATTTGCTTATTATTTATTTTAGATTCTATTTATTTATTCATGAGAGGCAGAGAGACACAGACAGAGGGAGAAGCAGGCTCCCTGGAGGAAGCCTGATACGGGACTTGATCCTAGGACCCGGGATCATGACCTGAGCCAAAGGGAGATGCTCAACCACTGAGCCACACAGGTGCCCCACCGTGCATTGCTTTTATTTATTTATTTTTATTTTTTTGTATATTTTTTTATTGGAGTGCATTGCTTTTAAAGATAAAATACAAGCCTTGAGGACTTTTCACTTGAGAGAGAGTCTTCCAGCCCACAGCCTCAGATATTTTTCTAGACAGATGAGGTCAGAGAGGCAGGCAGGAGACTTCTTAGGAGGGCCCTTGGGAAAACTCTGAGGCGCTCTGATATAA